CTTGTGACCCCAACCTACCCCCGGGGGTCATGATTTGAACAATTTAGAATCTACACTACCCCAGGATGCTTCCACATAAGTTTCAGCTTTTCTGGTCCAGTGGTTCTTGAGAAGATTTTTCCTATATATTTCTATGTAAAACTTTGAATCCCCCTTGTGGCCCCAACCTACCCCCGGGGGTCATGATTTGAACAATTTAGAATCTACACTACCCCAGGATGCTTCCACATAAGTTTTAGCTTTTCTGGTCCAGTGGTTCTTGAGAAGAAGATTTTTTATGACTCCACCCTATTTTTGTCTTTTCTTGATTATCTCCCCTTGTGAAAGGACCTTTCCCTTTATTTTAATAAATTTAAAATTCCCATTTACCCAAGGATGCTTTGTACCAAGTTTGGTTAAAATTGGTCCAGTGGTTCTGGAGAAGAAGTCGAAAATGTACAGACAGATGATGGACAAAATGTGATCAGAAAAGCTCACTTGAGCCTTCGGCTCAGGTGAACTAAAAATGTAAGGACTTGCAACTGAATAAGTACTTTATAAACTTAAATAAAACTATAACAGGCATTCATTGATTCTCCTTCTGAATTCAACAATTATGACACAATGCAGTATCTTACAGTTTTTTTTCAAGAAAAAGTGTGTATATTTTTTTTTATCCAAATTACTGAATGTCCTTTTTCCCCCAAATTATATAATCTATGACAAAATCAGTATTGTCACATAATCTAATTAAAGAACTTCCTTGTTGTACAGTATTTTTAATGTTCCTTCATTTTAACAAACAACTTTAATAGATGTTTATCAGCTTAAGTTCCTGATAAATGCATCATTTCTTTAGCATCTAAATCTATTTAAGGAATAACTGTCTTATTTTTTGATTTTATGATTTGATCAATCGATTGGCGTGCATGATAATTTGCATAAACGCTGAAGGCTTTTATGCATAAAATTATCACACAAGCCAATCGATTGATCGTCGTCATAAAATTGAAAAATCTGACAGCTATTCCTTATATTTACATGCTTTTGTTTCTGCAAATCCATGTGCTCCAAGCCCTGCTTCTGTCTAGCTATTTGTCCTCCCCCTGCACGTGATTTTTTTTAACCGTGCCTATTGATGAACCAATACATTGATGGGGAAATAAAGTACATTTATTTGTAATTTTATCTTGGACAAAGACATTGGAAATGTAAATATTTATAGTTACACAGTGGTATTCCAAATATTCTCTCAATATTTTCAATCAATATATCATTTCTTTTTTCATGCTGTTCATTAAAGGTAGTTCATTTAGTAGGGATGTGCGATTTCATCGGTATACTAGTATATTGCGATTTTTTGTTGCGTGATATGTATCGTGATACGGAGACCTAAATACCGGTCTTTAGGTACATATTATAAAGTCCAGAAATTATTCATTTATTTGTTCAATCTTTCAAATTACAATTACAGAAAGTATAAAAAATGTTGTAAAAAGTGAAAAGAACAGCATCTTACCATCCAAACATAATTGATTTTATATACATAAAAATTTCAAGAAAGTAAAATTTCGTTTTTCTAGCATATTTTTTTAGAAAAATAATTACTTTTCATATAAAATCAGTGTGAAAACTGCTTTTAAAAATATCATGATATTATCGTAATATTGTGGGAAAAAATTGTGATATACAGCGATACGAAATTATTGGCGATAACCATCCCTATTCTTGGTGCATTAAAAAAAAAATAAGATTTAAACAAAAAAGAAAAAATCTTTTGACTAGAATCAAGTGTGAAAGTTGTGATGTTTGGTAAGCTAATAAGTTTTTGTTTATTGAAATCTTATTGCTGTTTACATGGTGAGTACTCAGTTAGCTGTATGTCTGTGTAATACATGTAATTAATTTATGAATATTTTCATCTATAGCCTGGGACTTTAATGACAACAATGGGATGGTATTACCCTGACTTCTTGTCAGATCATGGAAACCCAACCATGGTGAAATTAAGCTCAGTATAATGAATACTTCAATGAAAAATTTTAATCCCCTATTTTGGCCTCACTCTATTGTAAAGGCCATGATTTGAATGATTTAATTGAAACAATGTAGAATCTCATTTATATCTTCTTCATCCCCAAGATGCTTTATGCCAACTTTGATGAATTTATTTCCAGTGGTTGCTGAGAAGTAGAAAATGTGACAGATGGAGGGACACTTGAGCTTTCAGCTCTGGATAGCTAAAAACCAGTGACTTATTTAGAAAATCTGCATTTCTTTGCATATATATAATGTACAATCAAGTACTTACTTGGAATATACATAATCATGAAGAATACAAGGAAGTAGAAGTAATTAAATGACATGTTGGCTGCATTAGGTAACTGTACATAATACAGTTTCTTCTCCTCTACTTCTCTTAGACTACTGAATGTGGTGATTAGTTCTCCCTACAAAAAATAAAACAAATGTCTCACTCTCTGACACTGGATGTCAAGAAGTTATGATAAAATTGACATGCAATGTGTTACCAAATTTAAGGACCAATGATGTCAGAAAGGGCAAGAATACATGTTTCATTATTTTTGCCAAGAAATACCAAAACACCTTGCTATAGTAACATCTAGCTTTAGTTTTTCAAAGATTTTAAACTGAAAATACCCAGTATCTAATAAAGAGCCACTTACCTCCTATTTTAAGGTTTGTGACTCTCAACTAGCGACACCAAATATTGCTCATATGATAAATATAAATATGTTTACAGTAATTTTGTGTTCTTTTCTTTGTACTTACTGTTACTCCTATTGGATACAAAACAATGAAAAATGTGTACCTGTAATATATAGAAGATTGTTTAATATTCAGTTTATTATAATGGAAAGAAAATGATGATGGAAAGAAAATGTATCTCTGCTAGTTTGTATAATAGTTAAATAGAAAAGTTGTACCTTGAATTAAGTATTCTTTTAAAGATTTACAGAATTAGGTATTCTGATGTTTTCTTAACTTGTACAATTCATGTAATTGTTTCATTTACAAATCAGAAAATCTATGCACATTTTGGGTTGAGTTTCATACACTGCCCTGATAATAAGTACAGCTGCACTTACCGACACCACACGATAAAATATGGAACGCCTCCCAGCAGAGAGAAAAAGTAGAAGGAATATCTAATGATTTCAGTGATTGTCCATGCCGTAACAAACAGAAGTACCCCATAGTAATTCTGAACCTACAAACAGATGGCACATAAATAACAATAATGCAACTTACATGTGGAGTAAATTAACTTTTAACAGTTAACCATGAATGTATGTAAAGTACCCTATAAAATATCTACATGTAGGTGTAGCCTTAAATAATGCTGAATTACAAATATGGACATTATCTCTAGCGGAATTATTGCCATTATAATCCAGTAATGTCTGTCTAACAGTGAGGTGATCTCAGGAGAAGGGATTGTATATAAAAACAGAGTAAGTACTGTATAAACTGTACATAATGGACAAAGTATGTTATGTCCAGGTTTATCCTCTTAGGCTCTTAACTGTCTAAGTGACAAGACCAGTGATTCGTTTTGAAAATTGATTGAATGGGTACAGTGTACCCCTCTGTCAGAAAGCAATGGGTCAGAACTCAAAATCAATGGGTCAGAATTTTAACAACAACTATAAGAATGTGATATTAAGCAAAGTTTTATTTTTTTCTCAATTACCGTATTTGGTGGATTATATAATACGCACTTTTTTCCTAAAACAGATTTCTGTGAGAAAGATGTGCGTATTTTACATCACAATGGGATTTTGATATGTTTTTCTTTTACCTAGAGACATATGCAATTTCTTTTGTTTATCGCCACATTTTAAACTTCGGAAGTTATTGTTGGAAAGTATGCTTGTTAAAAATGTCACTTTCTTAACCTTTTGATACTAAAATGACACGAAAAAGCAAGTTAAAATTAATTTGAGCTGTATGTTTATTGTCTCCCGACTCTCCATGTAGGCTGCCACCACCGATGTTATTTTTAAATAGACGTTCACACATTCCTTTGCCACATGCCTCCGTAATCATTGTACACATGTACCTTATCTGCTAGACAAAGTAACAAATCATTTTTTTAATGAAATACAATAGACATTTGATAAAATAAAAATTCATTTTAGGTTTCAAATAACTCGGTGAAAATTCACTGCAACATAAACATCCCTTTATACGTCCCAATGAAAGGAAGCCAATGTTGTGAACACTTGTGCTGGTCACTTGATAATTATCTCTCAACACCCCTCCAAGCAATTAATTGTCTACCGACTCCAAAGCAATGTTTTTAAAGTTAGAGCACTGATTATTTACTGTCCTTATAATTGCTTTGATTATTTTCTTTTTAAAAAATCGGGGGTTGGTTTATCACCTTTCGTATGTGTTGATTACGACACATTAAACAATTAAACACTTTTTAAATGTAATTTTACCTTTTCTTATACTTATCGGCCTCTTGTTTAAATGATTGATAGATGACAAATGAAATATGAAGTATGCTAAAACTTTAGCAGTTCCGAAAAACAGAATGAGCGATAAAAACAGAAACTGGAAACTTCGATTCTATTTTATGCTGGTTATCACTTATGCGTATTCGGGACGCACTTGACAAAAACCAATGGGTATTTAATGAATGTAATGCGTAAATTACGCAATACGTGGGGCAAAATGAATCACTGTAAGACTTACAGAAGGCACACTGTATGTAACTGCCCATGTGAGGAAAACCCTGGAGAACACTTGAAAAGCCGTCAACAGGACACTGGATCTCACCAACCCCAGGGCACAATGGAGAATCTGTAAAAAAACATTTGTATAAGTACATTAGTCTTATGTAAATGTAATAAAGGAATTTAGAAGATGTGCAATATTGAGGATGTAAAACTCATATGTACATCCCAATAAGCTTATGGCATGACAAGTATATACTATATTAACCAATTGTTTCTTTTTTACCTTTCTACCAATACTTTGCATTAAAATTCACGCTTAAAAAAAAAAAACAGGTTTTATACCTCCAAAACTGCAGCAGTTTGAAATATATTTAGGAAGATAGCAACTTCATCATACAATCCCACCACTGTACGTTCTGTGACCATGTGATAAACCAGCTTAAACATCAAGAGAGTCCATCTACAACAAAAGTCAAACAGATACTGGCATATTTTATCATTGCAAACATACTGTAAACGTATTACATTTGGCTGTGTATTCTTTTTAGCGCTTTTGGCGGGAAGCAATCTCCGCTAATTCAAGTACAACGCTAAATGCCTCACACATATACCAATAAAGAAGAACATTTAGATATGCGCTAATTCAAATCCACGCTAACTTGTTCAAAATCCAATTTCCGCCAAATGTCGTATGCACTAAATATAATACATTTACAGTAATTACAAACTGTATACATTTCAAAACTTTTTGTATTAAAGCTAAAAATAAAATATCAGTTGGTTTCATTTAGCTGCAGAACTGTAGCTCTCTGTTCAAGAAAATTGGGACAGATAAAGCAGAGAGCTACAGATCCATGTGTTGTAAAACCCTTCTATTTATGCGAATAATTTTTTGTTGCTCACTTCAGGTATTGTATCTTGTAGTTTATGCTTTCCTTCGCTCTAATAATGGTATTCAATAATTTATCATATATTTTACTCCAATTATTGATACTTTTACCTTTCAACGGTCCGAAACAGTTCCCTATGGATTTGGAATGTTGGTTAGAAAGATTCCCATTTTCGTGACCACTTCCACAAACTGCCTTTTTTGAACCATTGAAAGGTAAATCAACAGTAAGGAATAGGAGTTAAATGTATGGTCAATTACCGGATATCTTTTATAAAGCTAGACAAAACACATAAAATATAAGAAAAAATACCTGAAGTGAGCAACAAAAAATTGGCGGCGTAATTTAAAGGTTTTTTCAAGGCATGGATCTGTAGCTCTCTGCTTTATCTGTCCGAATTTTCTCAAACAGAGAGCTACAGTTCTGCAGCTAGGTTTCAATATGATTAATTAAAATTTCAGCAGAATGAGAAGCAATCATACGTAGTTAATTTTTTAAATTTTTTGCATACAAATATGGCTTAAAAAAAAATATGTTTGTTTCCTGTAACATTCCCAAAAAAATAAGGGTCGGTAGGTCGGGAATATTTTTTTTTTTTTTTTTTTTTTGCTTATGAATGGTCAAACATCCCCGGACTGAATATACTAGGTGTCATATTTACAGTGGACACCCAACATGGCATCCAAAATGGCTACCTAGCGGCAGAAAACAAACTTCAGAAAGTTGTTGGGGGAAATTGTTGTTATAATAATGATTACTCTTAATAACTAAGGTAAATGTAAACTAGGTTGACATATTTTATGTCTCAATTTAAGCTACACGCTAATTTTCTTTTTTTAACAAATGGAATCTACTGATTGATCAAACGAAGTTTTGCCATTTGTCAGAAAAAAAAAATCCACCGGTTTACAGTCAACTCGTACACAAACCATCTCGTACACAAACCGAGTCGTACACAAAAAGTCAACTCGAACACAAATCAAAAGTCGACTCGTTCACAAATCAAAAGTCAACTCGTACACAAACTAATGTCATTTGTTCATAGTTCCCTATGTGATTTAATGTATAGTTTTCCTCAGTGTTAAAAAATTGAGGAGTCAACTCGTACACAAAGGTTTTTTTTTTTTCTTTGTACATATTAATCTTTTTATGTCGCTGATTTTACCTATACCTTATGCGCAGATTGGTTTTTTTCTTATTGCGTATTTTTGCGTTATTGCGTTTTTGTTGCGTAAATCTTGGGCGTCAACTCCTACACATTTTTCGTTATTTAAATATATATTTATTTGATACAGAAATGAGAAGTGCCGATTTTTTTATTCTGTAAATTTAATTGTAAATTAAAATATCTTATTAAACAACGTAATCAGATCGATCCAATATAATTGAATTTGATTTAAACATCACCACAAGATAATATGTGAATTTTATATGTGAATTTTACATTTTAGAATTAGTCTTCGGCTTTTATGCAAGTAATGTGTGGATATAAATATAACTTGAAATAATTTAGGTAAGAAATTAAAAAATTTTATGGCACCATAACGTATACCGTTAGTCAATGTAGATAGTAAATACGATCGAAATACATCGAAGATTTTTATGCCAATATGGTATATCATTGCATACAATATTAAAAAAAAACTTATCAAATTAAAAAAAAAATTATTTTTTTTTTACAATTTTTTTTTTACTATAGACAGTTCTACGGCAGGATAAACACTTCTCTCACACCATGGGGAAGATAAAGAAATGAAGAAATTGGGACCAAATTAAGAGCATTTTGTAATTAGCGTTTGTCGCAAATCAAAGAAACCGCCGCGCTTGTGTTAGTTTAACAATAATTGTTTATACACATGTATTCCCGATACAAGAAGCCACGGTCGATTTCAAATGTTATAAAACCACTAAAGTATTCATGAAAAAATCTAAAAATTTAACACTTCTCCTTGTCCTTATTTCATATTTCTAAATTATACATAATTTATATAAAAAATAATTCCTAACTACTGTAAATAAAACGTTGTGTACGAGTTGACTTCTGATTTGTGTACGAGCTGACTTCTGATTTGTGTACAAGCTGACTTTTTGTGTACGACTCAGTTTGTGTACGAGACGGTTTGTGTACGAGTTGACTGGACACCAATCCACCCGGGGGTAATTTGAATGGGTCGGTCGGGTTACAGGAAACAAACTTATTTTTTTTTTAGGCCTATATGACATCCTTAAAAATCAGTTTCACAGAATTTGATTTTTAAATTAATGAGAGTACTTAGAAAAAGAGAAAAAATGAACCCGGAATATTCAAAATACACCATCCTGAAAACAAGCTTATATGATCCGCCACTAGCACTGGGTAAATCACCCACATGCAGTCGTTATTAATCGAAAATATGGTGAACAATACAAACAAAATGCGCCTTTCGAAATGCAAAATTTCATAAAACTTTACCCTATCATTTGAAGAACATTATATGCAACGAGATATGCCACAGAAAGACTGTTTTCAGCATTTGGACTTTGTGCTGAGCCTTTCTTTCCATCTTTCGTCGCCATGCTGCGGTGTGGAATGAACACGGCTAAAACCGTGAACCCATACAAAACTTCTTTAATCCGGTTACGTCAATAAAAAAAATGTTAAGCATAATTTTTTAGTGGAATATATTGCATTTATCCTTATCAACTCTATAATTTAAAATTATAGATTTATGAAAAGATTTCTC